TCTGGCGTTCAGCAAATAGAACAATTTTTGGTAAATCTAACTGATCTAAAACAGGACAAGTTTAATGTCAGACAGTGAGAGGAAACAAAATGGTTTGATGTCTTTTTATACAGTGCATGTAAACGTATGGTTTCATCTGTATGAGCCTGCAGCTGAGTTTAGGACTTCCAGAGAACTGTGTGCAGCCATCCCACCTGATCGTAGAACGCTCTGAACACAAGTTGGTTTATATTGAAAACAGGTGGACAGATTTTGAGACCAGATTGTTGCTTCATTCTCTTTGGTCTTGAACGTGCGGCACACAAAGGACACTCTGTCCTCCTGAAAGCCTTTTCAGCTGAAGTTCTCTGCGACGCTCTTCTCCTGCAACAGAAATCCATCACACCCTTCTGACTGTGGCAGTGCACTTAAGCTGTCAGTGTGGCACCTGCTGCCACCGGAAAGCCCTGCTGCTCTACATATGGCATTTCTGAGGCTACGTTTTCGCTGGTAAGCATCATGTCACTCCCCGATACCTTCCATGTGGATTAGCTCGCCCAGCTACTTCAGGTGGTGGATGTTGTTGCTTTGATTACATTGGCTGCAGGCTTCTTCTAAATTTGACGAAAGTAGGCATATGGTTTAGAGTAAATTACCTCAAAAGGCGATGAGCAGTTTCCTCTGACCCCACACTCTCCATCCTTCTCCGCATTACAAAGAATTAGATAGCCAGGTCGCCCCCCCTCCAACACCCCTGCCTCCTGCTATCCAATAGTAGGGGTTAATTGAGATCAGCAGGGGAGGTCAAGCGTCTGATTGACGTGGCTGGAGGGGGCCGGAGCGGCGGCCTTTTACTGGGCCCTGTTGTTCATTTTAATTGTTGTCTCGACTGTTTGTCGCGAGGGCCGACACCCGGTGGCAGGACGACAAGAACGACGGACGGTGGGAGAAAGAGAGACAGCAGAGAGAGTGGACACCGGTGATTTACATTAATATGTACTGAAATAAACAAGCTGAGAAGTCATGCGTTAAATCAACTCAGAGAGCGAGAGAGATAGAGACAGAAAGAAAGCCTCCAGGGTGAGAGAGAGGAATAGAGAAGGAGGAAGTGTGTGTGTGCTCAGAAGGAAGCGCTCTTTTTTATTGTTCTATTACCGTGTAGTAGATTTACATGCACAAAAGTGCACGAGCGCGCACACACACACACACACACACCATGTCAGATTTGAGCGTCTAGTGTGTCTGCTTTCTCTCTCCAGTATTTTAGTATTCTAATCCATCATTGGCCTGACATGGGGATGCTGTCTCTCTCCGTCTATGTCTCTCTCTCCGTGCTGCTGCACATACACGGCATCCGAACGAAAGATAAAGGCAAAGCAGGGGGAAAAACAAACTCCACAGCAGGGAGAGCTTTATCCAGAGAGATAAAGCGGTGGAATAAAGCGGCGATGGGGAGATACAGAGAAAGTGGAAGAGATGGAAAAGAGAGGAGCAAAAGGAGAGGAAGGAGCACAAGGATGGGGGGGACTGAAGGGAAATGGAAGTGGGAAAAAGGGGGAAAGGAGAGGAGAAGGAAGGGCGAGGGAGCAGGAGATAGAGACGGAGAGAGAGATGTGTGTTGCAGTGTGTCGAAGCCTGAACCTCCTGCTCCATTTCACACTCTGTAGGTCCTGACGCGTCACCACTCCAAGACGCACACACATCGCCACGCACATAGACACACACCGGCTCTGGCCTTCTTCTTCTTTCTAAGTCACACGTGTTTGCCGCCTTTTCTCAGCTAAACACAGATGCATAAACACACAATCGCTAAACTGAATTTTTTGTTTGTCCCTTCATCTATTGCACAGCGTTCAGGAAATATTTAAAAGAAGAATCCCCTCTAAAACATTAGATTTGCTGGTGGCCCATGGTGCTTTCTACCAGCGCTGCTTCTTTGCATCAATGACCAACCATTATAGAGCGGGCATCTGTCAGAGGAGCGCGGAGGCGCGTCGGCCGGAGCATAAAAGCTAATTACAAGGCATCACAATATTAAAGAATGTATTGAACCTTAACACGCCAAATGAAAAGAAGAATCAAGATGGCTTTAGATTGATTTGTCCTGATTTTTGAGGTGTTGGTCTGAGATTCTCTCCAAAACACTGTAGCTAAACTGAATCCTTGCTGTGGCATAAAAAGCTAAAGCAATGTCCAGAAACAAAAATCCCTTTTTCTTCTCCTTTTTTTGTTTTGTTTTAATTGCAACTTCTTCATCATTGTATTACAAATGTCTTTACAATCTTTACAAAATATGGCAAATTCATTCCTAAGACGTCCCATAATTTGATCTAAACCCCTTCAGCGCTTACTGTTGATATTTCAGATCAAATGTTTAGATGGTATCTTGTAATATGTCGAGGAACTGTTGACATTTTATTGTGTGTGTGTTGTTTTGCTGTCATTCAGATGATGGAGAATTGTTTAATGTGTTTAGGGGGAAAAGAAGGACTTGAGGCTGGAGGAAACGCTGCTCGCTTGATTTTTTTTTAACCAAATTTGACGAAAAAGGCAGTTTTCAATAAATCCATAAGTGTGCTGAAATTTTATAGAAAAAGGGAGACATTGTGGCTTCATGCATACGTAGTTACCTCCCTGCTTCTGCTTCTCTCTGTGCTGTGCTTGGCCAAACACTCCAGGACCTGCTGTGTCTCAAGGTGCACTCAAAACACAGGCTTCCTCGAGCTAAAGACGATTTAACTTTGGCCTTTCTGTTGCGGTGCAGGATCCAACAGCTTCGATGTTGCCGTTAAGTGAAAGTGTGCCAAAACGAAGACAGATAGTCGCTACTGAGCAGAACTCCAGTCTCATGATCATGTAGGACTTCTTCTCTCCCCAGAAAACAGTCCTGAAAGAGCTTCCACAGGGACGGTTCCTATGACTGGAGCGCACACAAAGGTTCGGGCAGCCCTAAAATGCCTTTTGACAACATCATGACAACACAGCATAGCAGTAGCACAAGTAATGCTGAGTCATAAATACTCACTCTATAGTTTTCTATCATTAGCTAACCGCCATAAGCCGCTTCTCAGAACAAGACTGGAGCAGTAGAAGGCTTGCATGTACTGAGCAGAGCGAGGCTACAAGTCATTTCTTAGGAAATGTTTTTTTCTTTTTATGTTAAATCCTCTTTTGACAAAGTCTCTCTTTCAGTAGGTTATCTAATCCGTGCAGTTAAAAATTCAATCAGACGCCCTCAACAAGCACAAAACCTCTGATTCCTTTTTGTACACTTTGGTTGAGTTTGAAGCTGCACTGTCTAAGAACCACATTTACACTTTTTTTGTCTGTTAAACGATGTAAAAAAAAAAAAGTGTGTAACAAGAGGATTGTTGCTGTGACTTCTCGTTTGACACTTCATTAGCATTGTTTTGTATAATTTCAGTGAGTTTCTCACACCCGTTTATTGAAGCTGATTGAGCCTCTTTCTTGTTCACGCTGACTGGGATCATCTCTGTGCAATTAAACATCTGGTGAATTAAATGTTTTGGACCTCCTGGACCCTCCACATGGACTCCTGGGAAACCTCCTGGACTCTCTGAGAACTGCTTCACTGCGTCGCACATGGATCGTTGTTTCAGACGTGTCTCTGCAGCAGCGTTTTAGTCTCTTTAGCTGAATGTTGTTGTTTTTTTCCCAGCCAACACAGATGCACAATCTCGTCACTGTCGGCAATGCGTTGCCATGGTTACTCCAGGCTCACCCAAGTCGCTGCGCCCTAGGTGATCCCAAAAGGTAAATGGAGCTGAATGATCTTCGGAAGATTCTTTTCAATACACCAACACCTGGTGAGGGCGCGGCGGCCATTTTGATGCTGTTTTTTTTGCTGCTTGACTGACTGACTGAACACGGCACTCCTCCTCCTCCTCCTCCTCCCTTTAACCCCCACCTCTTATCCCGGCAGGTGCCTGGCTGAATGGGACATCATCGCCATGGAGATTGAGGCGATGACACTCACGCACACACACACACACACACACACACACACACACAGTCACAGACTCAGAAAAGAGACCTGATCTCATGAGCTGCGCCGTCTGACTCGATGAAAAGTTGTCTCTCCAAAGGGAAGACAGCCGTGCGGATTGAGCTGTCACTTGAAGGGAACTGCGTGGAAAATAAACGGATCTCTCTTTTCTCTTTCATTCTGTCAAACCTTTCCTTTGGGTAATTCCAAGCCAAAGCCTGGGTCCAGAAGACGAGCAGGTGGACATAAGTGTGCTGCATTTAAAATGACTCTGACTCAAACCTACACCCCGCCCTTGCTTCATGTCTAAAGCATGTCAGTGTACAGTGCCAGAGTGAGGGACATCACCACAGGGCTTTCCCCACTTTGACTCCCATTTTATTGTGCGATCCATCCTGATGCTCCTTTGGTCCTGTGCTTTCTGCCTGTTGGTGACTGTTTCGTAGGCACATGAACTCCAAGTGGGCTCTCTTGCACACAGATTAAAAAAAATAAAAAGAAGTAAATAAATAGAAGTAAATATTGACTCCAGTCAATAGAGACTGGTGGTTGATCGGTTCTAAACTGTGTTGGTAAGAAGAAAAAAAAAACATGTATCTCCTGGGGGCATATATGTGGCCCCGCATGAAATATTTCTATTTCTGATCATTCGGTGACATTTTGCCCTGCTGAATGTGCCCCCGAGGGGATATGAAACACTCCATGCCTTCGCTGTGTTCACCTGTGAATAATAAAAATAAATGTACAAGCTGACATTTCCTTACCTTGACTTCGGTGTGTCTGTTCTCTAATGACTTCTTATAGATTTTGCAGATTTACATACAGACGGGCAACAAAGGAAAAACCTAAACAAAGGAAAAGAGCGACTGCAGATGCGTCGACGCAGCAGCTAGTCACCTTTCATAGCCTGTGTTATATGTAAAAATGCAGACCGGGCCAAACTGATTCTGAGTTTGTATAAAGATGGCGAGAAAATAAGTCATAACAGGGTTTGTTTTTGGGGAACAGACAGCAGCAGGAGCTTCAGGCTCAAAGACAGATCGACATACAAGTGTTTCTATAGGAACCGTGACTACAGCAACATGCATTCACATCTATTGGAAAGGCACTAGCAAACGGGATGAGAAACTGTGGTCAACATTTGATGCCTGCGCATTAGTGTGATATGTAAAGTAAAACAGAGCGACTCTTCCTCAAGAGACTCAGAATGTCAGCACAAAACATGATCAAACTGTAAACAAGAGCAGTCTGTCGCCAATTATGTACGGAGGGATACTTATTTATGCACTGCAACCCACAGCAGTCTTTATTACAAAGATGAATGCACATTTGAAAGTTCAGTGGTGCAGAAACGATCGGCACCGGTCTGGGGAGATGGGGGGAAAAACAGTTATATGGTCAAATGAGTCGTTCTTTACCATGTCAACGACTAGGGGAGTGAGTGGTGTACAACAAGAGGAAGGTAATTGCTTGACACCTACATTGAGGGGATCCAAGGACTATATTATGCTCTAGGGGCATTTTACTGATGTGATTTGGATCCACTTGTCCATTTGGAGTCACTGCACATCAATGGAAACTGTTGTGAAGGATCAGTTTTATCCTGTGATGAAGCATTTCGATCCTGGTGGAAGTGATGTCTTCCAGAATGACAGCACCCCTGTTCATAAGGCACCAGGGATCACTGCATGACTTGGTAAGTATGAAAATCATGTGCTATGGCCTTCGCAGCCAGCACGAGTGAATACCTTTTGTAAGAATGGTGTTTGGTTCGTTTAGATTTAGCTTTGAGACTTGGTAGGCCAACATCTTACCAGGACGCTTTATGTTGTTGTTTTTTTCCTTAATTTGTCACAGTCTGTATATTTTTGTTGGTGTTTTGGCTCCTCAGTCAGTAGATCTGAATCCGGGAGAACATTTTTGGGATGTGGTTTAACGTGATGTGGCAGCATGAATGTGCGACCAACAATTCTGCAGAAATGATGTGATGCAATCATGTCGACACGGAGCAGAATCTCAAGGGAATGATTCCAGCATGTTGTACAATTCATGACATCAGGAGCTGAGGCTGTTTGAGAACAGAGGGAGGCTGTAACACTGCATTAGCATGCTAGTATTGCTAAGCACACAAGTGAATCTAGAGGTTTAACAATGGAGGGGATGATGGTCCCTCTGTGGATGTTCATTTACCTCCATAAAGTCCTCTCTGTGTATCAGTTACATATTTATTTTTTTTCGATTGAAGTAATCTCTTGCGGTCTTAGTGTAACCTCTTTGCAGCTCGAACACACCAGCTCACCCATGATTTTGCTCAACAGTTGGAATTGAAGAGTCATATATGTTGGAACTGGAAGCCAATTCCAAAGAAGAAGAATGATGTGGAAAGCCCCATTTGGCAAGTTCACAGGATTGGTTCCTCAGGTTTGATGTGTATGAAATACTTATTTTGAGGTATTTTGGCCGTATCATTATATGACAGTTTGTCATATATTAAAGTTTTCATAACAACAGGCCAAATAACCATGTGTTGTATGAAACTGGTTTTTCGCAGCAATGGAGCCACAGAGAATTATCATCTAATGCTGCAGCTTCCTTCAGCTCTACAGAACATTTAGCATCATTGTTGTGATTTTATAACTTCGCTGCTTTGGTTCAGTCTCGGCTCTCTCTACAACCTCATTTCCAGCAGCAGCAGGCAGCTGTTTCAATGAAAAGCTCTAACAAGTTACTGTACACTACCTGCTCAGCGGCAAACAGCAGACAGACACTGTTAGGGACTGGCTGGTGAACATAATGGAGCATTTAGAAGCTAAAGACACATATTTTTCTCAGGAGTTGGTGGAGACTGACACAGAGCTGAAAAGGAGAGTGAGAGGCCCTGGGCGTGGATCAGGAATACAGCTCTGTATGAATAAAACATACCTCTCTGTATTAAGCAAACACCGTATTCATTCAGGTCAGCTGTGGCTCAGGTGATACAGCAGGTTGTCCACTAACTGCAGGGTTGGTGGTTAAATTCTTGTCCTTGGGCAGGATGCTGAACACCAAGTTGCCTCTGATGGCAGGTGAGCACTTTGTATGGCAGCTCTGCCCCGTTGGCGTGTGACTGTGTTGTGATGAATGAGAAACACAAAGTGTTAATGTTAAAAAGCCCTGAATACGTGGGGACTTTGAAGATGAAGAGTCTTTTTTCATAAATGGATGAATGTACTTAAATAAGAGGTAAGGAACACTTTTATTATTACAACAATAAGTTCAAATTGGGTGACCCAACTAAGTTACCACCATAGACTGTATGAGAGATGGACGTAGCTACCGTGACGTCACCCGTTGGTTTCTGCACTGAGAACATGAAGCCAGGGTTTTGCTACTTCCTGGTTGACATCTTGGATTTTTGGAGCCAGTGACGCAAAAATTGTGGGAGGGGGGCGGAGCCATAGGAGCAGCGATTGGTCAGACGGATTGAGAGGCGGGCCCTCTGCAAGGTGGCGCAGTTGGTTAGCACTGTCGCCTCGCAGCAAGAAGGTCGCCGGTTCGCGTCCCGGTGGGGGCACCAGAATCTTTCTGCGTGGAGTCTCCATGTTCTCCCCGTGCAGCGTGGGTTCTCTCCGGGTTCTCCAGCTTCCTCCCACAGTCCAGAAACATGCTGAGGTTAATTGGTGATTGTAAATTGTCCGTAGGTGTGAATGTGAGTGTGCTTGGTTGTCTGTCTCTAAGTGTAGCCCTGTGATAGACTGGTTACCTGTCCAGGTGAACCTGCCTTCACCCTGAGTCAGCTGGGATAGACTCCGCCCCCCATGACCCTCGTGAGGATTAAGCGGTGTATAGATAATGGATGGATGGATGTACCACATGGCTAGCTAGCTTAAAGGTTCCATATTATTCCACTTTGAGGCAAATGGTTTTAGCTTTACATGCAGCAGACCTGTTGCTCTTGTCATTCTAACTGCCCTTTAGCTGCGCAATGTACCAACACCAAGGATTTGTCTTGTTGTTGTTGTTGTTGTTGTTGTTGTTGTTGTTGTTGTTGCTGTTGTTGTTGTTGTAGGGTAATTGGTGTCAAACATTAAGGTGTTGCACTGGGTCTTCAGTTTTCTCAGATGCTAGGAGTGCATGAGTTTGCTCTTACAATCGATACAATCAATCAGTTTGTGGCGAAGACATTTTACGCCGTGGCTACAACGTATGTGAACCGTTCATGGAGCAGATGCTGTATCACCATGCTTCCACTACAATCCATGAAGGCTGATAAAGCGCGCATGACAGCAGCACATAAATGGTGTAAATGCATCACGGAGAGCCGCGCTGGAAAACCTAAAGAGTGACAAATGTTCCATTTATATTTTTTTAAGCGAGGTGTGTGCAGCTCTTTTTCACAGAAGTGGATGAGAAAGTTTCTATATTTGTTATATTTGACTTAAACTAATCTTGTACAGGAAAATAACAACTTTGGTCAAAGCAGGAAGCCTGTTTGATTCAATCTGTCTGCATGTATTTGCCAGTTCGTAGCTTTATTTCTTACAGTCTACAGCCAGTAGATGTCAACTTACCCATAATGCACAGGCTCTGTGAAAAGTTGAAGTTTCAGTGCTGTGCTGGTTCCAGAAACTGAAGAAACCTAAAGTGAAAGCTTGCTGCATGGGTCAATCCATATAACTTCAGATAGCAGTTACATGAATCCGTCTGAGATTTTGTTTAGAGTTTACTTATTTGTTATTTTCGGACGTTGTGATCCTCTGAGATGATCTGTTTCGCTTGCTGCCACTGCAACCCAACCCCAGACTAGCAACAGGAAATGGATGGTTGGATGGATGGATTGACGCAAACAAACCAACACGTCTTTCTCTGCTATAGTTCACCCTGATAGTGAGCAGCATGTGTGTTTGTCCTTTTTTGTAGCTTTCAAACCAGTTTCAGCTCCTCCCTATTGATGAAGTTACATATTATTATTATTTTGATTGTTATTATTGGGGTTTTGTGGATGTTCAGCACAAATTGTGGGAAAAGTGGAAAAATAAGCAACTGCACAGCTGGTTTCATATCTTCACATTGTATTGAAGTTATGGTTTTTGTGTGTTGACGAAAAGATGGTTCCTCTGTTGTTGAAGAAGCCGCTCCGACCCGTGACTTTCAGACATTAAATTGTGATAAAATATTACATGTCTTAGTCCCCCCCCCAAAAAAAACAACAACAACAAATAATAATAATCGACAATTTGGATTTACATCAATTACAGCCAACAACAGCGACATGTAGCATCCATTTGGCTAATGAGATTGACAGCCACGCTAACTGTTGCTACACACGGCGCGTACAGATGGACGATGACGGAACAACACTTCTATGCATCTAAAAGTGTGCATTGATCACGTCTGCAAACCTTAGAGTGATATTCACTCACTGGGGGAGGCACTTGCTCAAACATATGGCCACAGTAATAAGCATGCACATACATAATGATGCACACGTACGACATGCGGGGAATGCTGTAATTTGAATCGACTTTACAGGCAGATTGATTTTCCTTCAGGCGGTAGTTTTAAGTACAGGACAGATTGCAGCTCACACAAATGGCCTGATACAGCAAGATCTGAGCCTCGGTGACAATACCTTCATTCCTGCATTTAACTCACTAAAATGTCTACTTGTGAGAAAGCAAACACTGCTGAGTTCAAGCCAAAGATGTGAACTGTTGGTCCTGTAGCTTCTATTTACCAGCTTGGAACTTGCATGTTAATACTGGCCCGATGTCGGAAATAAAT